AAATTCATATTATCTTTTTCCTCTTGAAACCTTTTGCAATAGCCAATTATCATCATCATAATTAAACCAAAGTTTGCTTACATTAGATCACAAACATACTACACACTGTTGTGATTGTTTTCATTGTATCTCCTACTAATTTCGTGACACCCGGTGTGTATATTAGGGTCGAAATATAACTTTGGGAAAGTGATTTTGTTCACGCCTCGAAGTGATTAATTTGTCCATTTTTTTTGACCCGGTCAAAGTAATATTTCCTACAAAGATGGCAATGGTGAAAGAATTGACATCAAACTTTCAAAAGTTGGACAAATTTGAAGGAGTAGTTTTACGAAGATGGCAAAAGTCATTATATTTTTGGTGATATCTCTTGGAGTGGCATATGTACTCACATCCCCGAAGTTAATGGAGGAGGAAAACTAAACGTTGGAGGCCACATGGAAGTGGAACTAGTGGGAGAACAATTTGTACGGTACTATCAAAACGATGCAATTTGTGTTTGTTTAATTTATTATTGTGTTTATCCATGGAGAATTGGTTAGTATTTCTATATTATTATGTTTCAATCCATGCTTGTTATGATGAATGTAATAATTCATTGTTTGATTGTTTAACTCATGGTTATTTAGCATGGATGATTTATCAAATATGAATTGATTTGATAATGTCTTTTTATAAAAAGTGTTAACATGTATGTCATTATGTTAACCGTTATTTAATATGTAAATTGGTAATATATATGCTAATTGTGATTCACGGAATGACTATCGGATTAATTTGACAATAGTTATGCTTTAATAAAGTATTTTATTAGTCTATGCATGGTAAAATTCCATTTTAGTTTTCAATGAATCACGCGGTAATTACTAATGGCCACAGTAATTAGAATAAGTGGAGGTGAATCGAATGTCTTGATTCAAGTAATGCCCATCTCGATAGGCCACGAACAAATTAGTATGGATAGTATGGTATATACTATTAATAATTTAGTTTATACAACTTTTGAAATTATTGTTTTAATTTTACAAGACAATGATGTTCTTTATTTCATGGTGTTGTCTTGTGTAATAATTTCATGTAAAAATCTGTTGTATAATTGTATGTATGTGAAACAAATTTGATGGCAACGAGGAGTATGTGATTTTCATAGCACACCTTCCTCGGGCAATATGAAGTGTTTAGCAACTTTCATTGATGTTTTTCAAGATGTTGCTACGTTTATTTATTGTATTCTAAGGATGAAGCCCTAGACAAATTTAAAATCCAAAAAAGTGAAGTAGAGTTGCAAACTAACGGAAAAGTCAAAAGATTAAGAATTGATAAATGAGGTGAATACTATAACCCAAATTATTTCCAATCTATAAGTTTAGTACATGAAACTACCGCGGCATTGTAGACACCTAATTGTATCTTCCCGAAAACTAAACCCAATAATGAGTACCTTTCACGTCTTTGATTATCGAGTTAGGTGAAGAGTTGAAGAGTCTCGTGAATTTCCCTTTAGCCTTCACCATTTATAACATTTCCTTAAATGTTTTAAGCCAAAATAATTCATTTTGTGTCTTTGAAAATCATTCATTTTGTGTCCCTTAAAATCATTCATTTCGTGTCCAATCAATAAAAACGTCCAAACCAATCTATCATAATTCTGGTCCAATTATTGTGTAGTTGGATGGATCTTGAAAAGAGTTTTCCAACGATATATTATAAGCCCAAATCTGCCTTATAACGAAGAAGTTATGGTTAAAATACTAAACCGAGCTCGAATCAAGCCTAACTTGCGACCCAATGATCATGTGGAGGGTCCCATTACCTGAAGATTAGTGCCCTGAGAGGGTGCATGGAAAGATTTTGATGAAAACTGACGCTACTATTGATATCATGAGTGTAGTTAAACTCATCACTGTTGTGACCACGACAACTACATTGGTTAATACGGATACACGGTGAGCATATTCAACTTTCGTTTGGTCTTCAAGGTACTTAGTAGTCACCGGATTCCCGAGAATATATTCCTGGATGCAAACGTGCGTTTTATTTGAAGAGAGAGTTTGCAAGACAAATGAAATTTTAAAATTGACTAATAATACCCTTGGTGTGTACTATATAAAATAATTTACATGGCGTGTTATCATTGTTTGTATAATTATTTTATATTATTATTGTATGATTTGCTATTTATATGCTTGAGTTTATATATATGATTAATGCATATGATTTTATGATTTGATCAGATCTAATTGTCTTGTTATTATTGTTGTGTATGATTGATCGTATCATTATATCAATATGCTAGGGTTCTTAATGTTGTTGTTCTAGGGAATATTGTTATATTGAGGTTTTAGGGTTACTCATATTGTTTTTGGGTTGTGAGTTAATTATATTTGGATATTAGTTTTATTTTCCTATATAAGAGTTGAGATATACTACGATTGAATCGAGTTTGAATGGTTATGTTATTTAGGAACCCGTGCCATTATTGAGATATTGTTTATGAATCTGTAAATGATTATTTGATCAAGTATGAGATCAAAAAAGGGTTGAAAATTATTATTTTGTTCTTGGTTTCTGGCTCGATGTTAATTACCTTAGTCCTTGGCATGTTAGTAAGAAGATAATGATCATGAGTTAATAATGAGGTACAATCTTTATTTATATTTTTCTATGGTCCCCTACAGTGGAATTTGACCCATATTGGTCATGGTTTGAAATGTTTTCTGATTATTGAGAGTATTCAAGTTTTTATACTTGTTGGTTTATTTATTCGAATTGCCCATGTCCAAGGCTAGGTATTGAACAAAGATCATGACACACTTATTGGTTAGATGAGTTAAATGTGTAAAGGATCGTATTATTATTCGAGGTTGGGTTTGACAAAGGTTATTTCCAGAGTAAAATGTGTAATGTAGTGTTTTGAACTACATTATTTAATTGTACTACTTGTGTTTGCGGCCATGTCTTTTTCTTATGCTGGCCCTGCGTCGATCTATTTTGAAATTTGTCCTTAATGACGTAGCTAAAGGTGCTCAAGTGTTTCGATTAGTATTTTATAACAAGTTTGAAAAGTTGTATAAATAGCTCACTGATAACTTGCTATTTGATACGATTTTAGGGTGTTTTGAACCTAGTTTACTTGATAAAAATTGCGTTTTGGTTCATTTTTACTCTATTATTATGCAATTTTTGTGTATCCTATGCTTCACGGGTTGTTGGTGTTTTTGTTGAGATTCTAGGTTCAAAAGAACGACCAAATGGAGCCCATGGATACAAAGCCGAGGTTAGAAGCAAGAAGATGGATGAAAGAAGCCAAGGAAAGGAGCATTATAGAAGAAAATATGAAAAAAGGGGCTTAGAAGACCCTGCACGGCCGTGCCAGACCTTGCACGTCCGTGCAGGAGGTTCCAGAAAGCTTCAGCAAGCTGCCAAGGCCTGCACGACCGTGCTTAATCTGGCACGTCCGTGCAGAAGAGGGTGCACGGCCGTGCCAGACTTTGCACGTCCGTGCAGGAGTGCTCCAGAAACTCAGAACATCTGCCAAGGCCTGCACGGACGTGCCAAATTAAGCACGTCCGTGCAGATGTAGCTGCACGTCCGTGCCAATATCTGCACGTCCGTGCGGAACTGCTCGATTCTTAGCAGTACGTTCTGCCTCAATTCTGCCCCCTCTGCACGTCCGTGCCGAATCTGGCACGACCGTGCTTATGCTTGCACGTCCGTGCCGAATCTGGCACGTCCGTGCAGACCTGCAGTCGAACTTCTTCCTTGTTTTCTCCGTCCTTTTTATTTGGGGGTGATATAAATACCCCTTTAGAGCTCATTTGTACGGGGTATGCAGTTTTTGAGAGCTTTTCTCTTAGTTTGTAGTCTTAGGACATTAAATTCTCAAATCATTAGTTAGTTCTCAATTATTAGCTTGGAATTATTCAAATTCAATCATTGTAGAAGACAAAATCCACCATTGTTGCTCACCTTGAAGCTTCATAGTAACCATTTCTTACTCATCTTTTCTATTTCTCTTTACTTTGTTGTTAATTATTTGCTAGTTCTTGCATGTTTTGGATTGTTAATTAGCTTAATTCTTAGTTTGAATTTGTTCATGAATTGCTTGAAATCTTTAATTGCTTTAACCCCCATGGATTGTGAGTAGTCTAAATTCTAGGGTTTGGGCAAAACCCTCAATGTAGTCACTAATTACTTGTTGCATGTGCTAATTTGGTTGTTGTGGGATGTTAATTAGTTGAGCTTAAGTGGTTTAATTGCTTAGTTCTTCTATATGGCCATTGCTAGAACTATTTATCCAAGCTTTCTCAACGAAGGATCGAGAGATGAACTTGAGTTAGCTCCCTTATGCTTGATTGACCCGAAATGCCATGAGAATAGGGATTACCGGTCAAGGGAATGTTTATGTCATCGTGATTATGCTTTAACACTTGTTTTATGCTATGTAACCACGAGAGTAGGTTGTATTCATGATTCAAGTAATCCCTCTAGCTTGAGAGAGTAGTTGGTGCTTTAGATGACTTCCCCTAATTTATCCCATCAATTTACCTTGATTGTTGCATGCTAATTGTGATTTGTGATGAAGTTGAGTGGTATAACCCAAGCCCTAGATTCCTCTAAATATTGTTAACCTCCTCTTAGCTTAGTTGAATTGTGTTAGAAGAAGTTACTCAAAACCAACCCAATTTAGAATTCGTTTAGCTTATTTAAACGGTAGTACTCGGTGGTTGATTCAACGCCTCTCTTGGGTTCGACCCTTTCTTACCCTTACTATAGTTAGTGAGACCAAGATAGGAATTATTATCTTTGGTAGGCTCGACGACGACCTATCAAATTTTGGCGCCGTTGCCGGGGAGGCAAAGTCACATTGAATGTATTATTGTTGAATGAGACTAGATGTGTGTATATGTATAGTAGTTTTCTTACCTTAATTTTTGTTTATGTGTGTTTAACTTGTGATAGTCATTGCTAACGTTTTTCTTAGCTTTGTTTGACTTTGCATGACACGAAAGAGTAAGCAATCATCGCTTATTCCCGTTGATCCAGAGCTAAATAGGACTTTGAGAAACGTGAGGAGACTCTTGCAAGGCACACCCGAGTTTTCCATTGTATATTCGGATTCCGATCCGGAAGAGGTTTTTGGAACTAACGAAGAAGATAACATGGGAGAGAATCCTCCTCAACCATTGTTAAGATACTATGACCACCCCAACGCATTCCAACTTCGGAGTGGCATACGTCTTCCCACCACAAATGCAAACAACTTTGAACTTTCACCTCAACTCATCCGTATGATTCAAAGCGATCAATTCGGAGGTAGTCCTCATGAGTGTCCTTTTGCTCATTTGGACAACTTTCTTGAGTTGTGTACAACCATCAAGCAAAACAACATTTCGGAAGAGTTCATCCGTATGCACATGTTTCAATTCTCCCTCCGTGATAAAGCAAAACATTGGTTGAGAACGGTTGAAGAGGGATCATTGAGTACATGGGACGAAGTCACTAGAGCCTTTCTTGGAAAGTATTGTCCTCCGGAAAAGACCGCCGAATTAAGAAGAAAGATCACCAATTTCAATCAAGACATTGATGAAACATTGAGTGAAGCTTGGGAGCGTTTCAAAGATTACACAAGGAAATGCCCCCACCATGGTTTTACATCATGGATCATTGTACAAAGCTTCTATGACGGTCTTACTCCTATTTCAAGGGCCAACCTTGATTCCAGGGCCGGTGGTAGCCTCAAAAAGCTATCGGTGGACGACGCATACAAGATGATTGAAGAAGTGGCCAAGCATTATGCATATGGAGGTGATAGAAGGAAACCTCAAACAAAGAAGGGCGGAATTCATGATCTTAGTGCAATAGATCTTATTGCATCAAAGTTTGATATGCTAGCTCACAAGCTAGATCAAGCCACCCTCACACCCTCAAGCTCTTCCTCGCAAGTCATGTCTTGTGAGACTTGTGGAGGAAATGATCACTTGTCCTCTTATTGCAACTCAACGAATCAAGAGCAAGCGGCGGCAATTGGGCAAAGGAATGAACAATACTCCCAATCCCACAATCAAAGTTGGAAGCCCCAACATAACACGGGATGGAAGCAATACAACCAAGGCCCCCCCACAAAATAACTACAACCAAAATCAAACCCAACCTCAAAACCACTACAACCAACCTCAATCACAAAACCAACAAGCTCCATACCGCCATCCCAACCAAAGGGATCAAAACCACCAAAGATCACAATATAACCAACCCGCTCCTCCTCCTCCACCTCCTCAAAAGACTAGCCTTGAGTCTGTTCTTAAAACTTTCATGACTCAACAAATAAGGAACAATGCGGAGATGAATGCAAACATCCAACAACTCCAAGCACATAATAAGATAATGGAGGGCCAATTGGCTCAAATTGCACAACAAGTTGGAAGTTCATCCTCCAATCCTAGTGGTCACTTTCCAAGCTCAACGGTAGTGAACCCAAAGGATCAAGCTAAGGCTATCACTTTGAGATCGGGAAGGGGTTATGAGTGAAGAGGAGCCACAAAAGAGAGATGAGGGAGTTGTGGTGAGAAGTGAGGATGATTTTGAAAATAAAGTAGTTGAAGTTGAGAGAAAAGAGCAAAAGAGTGATGAGGGAGCCACAAAGAAAGACGAGGGAGATGAAGAAAGAATAGAAAAGCCCCCTATGAGAGTATATAAGCCCCCCATTCCGTTTCCTCATAGAATTGTAGAGAAGAAGTTGAATGAGAAGTTTTCAAAATTTCTTGAAGTCATGAGAGGACTTCAAGTGAACATCCCCTTTCTTCATGCTATGTCACAAATGCCTACCTATGCAAAATTTTTGAAGGATCTTCTATCCAACAAGAGTAGGCTTGAAGAGAGTGCAACCATCTCCCTTCCTAAGGAGGTGAGTGCAATCATCCAAAACAAGCTTCCCCAAAAGCTTGGTGACCCCGGTAGCTATGCAATACTGGTGAAGATTGGAGATTTGGAAGCTATGGATGCTTTATGTGATCTTGGGGCAAGTGTGAGCTTGATGCCCTATTCTATTGCAAAGACCTTGAAAGTTGGAGACTTGAAACCAACAAAAATGTCCTTACAACTAGCCGACCGCACGGTTAGGCTACCTTTGGGGATTCTTGAAGATGTGCCGGTTCAAGTTGGAAGAGTATTTGTGCCATGTGATTTTGTAGTAATGGAGATGGAGGAAGATTCAAGAGTACCCCTCATTTTGGGGAGACCATTTTTGAACACCGCTGGAGTGGTGATTGATATGAAGGAAGGAAGATTGACTTTGAATGTGGGAGATGAGAAAATTTCATTTTCATTCTCACAAACTTTAAAAAAGCCATTGATTGATGAAGTTCATAGAATTGACACATTGGAGAGGGACTTAGAAGAGTTCCGAGAAAGATTGTATGAAAGAGATCCTTTACAAGCTACCTTAACGGGAAGCTTAGTTGAGGAGGGTGAAGAAGCAAAGGGGTATGATCTCTTTCTCAACCAACCTTTGGCCCACGAGGTGATAAAATTTGAAGTGCTTAACGTGGAGGCAAAAGAGGAGAGGACTACGCCTCCTCCTAAGGTTGAACTTAAACCCCTTCCCCCTCTACTTAAATATGCTTTTCTTGATGATAGTGAGAATTATCCCGTTATTGTCAATGCTAAGCTCGATGACACCTCTCTTGAGAAACTCCTAGTTGTTTTAAGGAAGTATAGAGATGTCATTGGGTACAAAATTGATGACATTAAGGGGATAAGTCCCACCATATGCATGCATAAAATTCTACTTGATGATGATCATGCTTCCTCGATTGAGCACCAAAGAAGGCTCAATCCCAATATGAAGGAAGTGGTAAAAAAGGAATTTTTAAAACTTCTTGAGGCGGGCATAATCTACCCTATCTCCGATAGTAAGTGGGTTAGCCCGGTTCAAGTTGTGCCTAAAAAGGGAGGCATGACCATCATCAAAAATGATAAGGGTGAGACCATTTCTACGAGGTCGGTCACCGGGTGGAGGATGTGCATTGATTATCGAAAATTGAATAAATCCACCCGGAAAGACCACTTCCCACTCCCCTTCATTGATCAAATATTGGAAAGACTAGCATCACATAGTCATTATTGCTTCTTGGATGGATACTCGGGATTCTTTCAAATTCCAATCCACCCCGAGGACCAAGAAAAGACTACATTCACATGTCCTTTTGGCACCTTCGCATATCGAAGAATGCCATTTGGGCTTTGTAATGCACCTTCCACATTTCAAAGGTGTATGATGTCTATTTTTTCCGACATGCTTGAATCATCAATTGAGGTATTCATGGATGACTTTTCTGTTTTTGGTTCATCTTTTGACACTTGTCTTTCAAACCTAATTAAAGTGTTAAAAAGATGTCAAGAGGTGAACTTAGTTTTGAATTGGGAGAAATGTCATTTCATGGTAGAGGAGGGAATTGTTCTTGGTCATGTGATTTCTAGTAGGGGCATTGAGGTAGATCGTGCCAAGATTGAAGTAATTGAGCGCCTCCCACCCCCTACAAATGTGAAGGGGATAAGGAGCTTTCTTGGACATGCGGGTTTTTACCGCCGGTTCATAAAGGATTTTTCAAAAATCGCAAAGCCGCTCACTCAATTGTTGGTAAAAGATGCCCCTTTTGTGTTTACTAATGATTGTTTTCTAGCATTTGATAGGTTGAAGGAGGCCTTGATTTTGGCTCCTATAATTCAACCCCCTAATTGGGAACTTCCTTTCGAGCTTATGTGTGATGCTTCGGATTTTGCCGTTGGGTCTGTTCTTGGACAAAGGAAGGACAAGAAGCTCCATGCTATCTATTATACTAGCAAAACATTGGATGAGGCACAAAGGAATTACACAACCACGGAAAAGGAGTTTCTAGCCATTGTTCATGCAATTGAGAAGTTTAGGTCCTACTTGTTGGGCTCTAAGGTCATAGTTTTCACCGACCATGCGGCCTTGAAGTACCTCTTGTCTAAGAAGGAACCTAAGCCAAGATTGATACGGTGGGTCTTGCTCTTGCAAGATTATGATATTGAGATTAGAGACAAGAAGGGTGCCGAAAATGTTGTGGCCGATCATCTTTCACGGTTGCCTATCTTTGTAGGTGATCTTGATAACTTGCCAATTGATGATTCATTTCCGGATGATCGACTATTTGCTATCCTTCAAGTACCGGCACCATGGTTTGCGGACATTGCAAACTACTTGTCTTGCTCTATTCTTCCTCCCGACCTCACCTATCAACAAAAAAGGAAGTTTCTCCATGATATTCGCCAATACTTTTGGGACGACCCCTTGCTCTTTAAACAAGGTGTTGATGGCCTTTTTAGAAGGTGTGTCCCGGATGATGAAATTGAAAGTGTTATCACAATGTGTCACTCATCACCTTGTGGAGGACATATGAGTGCTAACAAAACTTTGGCAAAGATCTTACAATGTGGTTTCTATTGGCCTTCCATGTTCAAAGATGTGTGGGGTGTAGTGAAAGCTTGTGACCGGTGTCAAAGAACCGGCAATATTTCAAGAAGAAGTGAAATGCCATTGAACAACATTCTTGAGTTGGAGATTTTTGATGTATGGGGCATAGATTTTATGGGGCCTTTCCCAACCTCTTTTGGGAATAAATTCATTCTTGTGGCCGTCGATTACGTGTCAAAGTGGGTAGAAGCGGTTGCATCTCCTACTAATGATGCTAAGGTGGTGGTCAAACTCTTCAAGAAGGTCATTTTTCCGAGGTTTGGGGTGCCACGTGCCGTCATTAGTGATGGAGGTTCGCATTTTGCAAAGCGGTCCTTCCAAGCTCTTCTTCAGAAGTACGGTGTGAGGCACAAGGTGTCATTGGCTTACCACCCTCAAACAAATGGTCAAGCCGAAATTTCAAACCGGGAGATAAAGGTTATCTTAGAGAAGACGGTGGATAGGTCTAGAAAGGATTGGTCTAAGAAGCTAGATGATGCTCTATGGGCCTACCGCACCGCATTCAAGACTCCCATTGGCACCACCCCTTACAAGCTAGTATATGGGAAATCATGCCATTTACCGGTAGAACTTGAGCATCGTGCTCATTGGGCTATTAAAACGTTGAACTTTGACCTTCAAAGTGCCGGTGAAAAGAGGTTACTTGACCTCCATGACTTGGAAGAGTTAAGATTGGATGCATATGAGAATGCACGGATCTACAAGGAAAAGACCAAGGCTTGGCATGACAAGCATATCAACAAAAGAGAGTTCAAGGAAGGTGACAAGGTCCTACTATTCAATTCCCGGTTGAAGTTGTTTCCGGGTAAGCTAAAATCAAGATGGAGTGGACCTTTTACCGTCAAGAAGGTGTTCCCATATGGTGCAATCGAAATTGCCAAAGAGAATGGTGAACCGTTCAAAGTAAATGGCCAAAGGCTAAAAGCGTACTTTGATGGTTTTGTGAATGAAGAGGCAAAAGTTGTTCACCTTGATGAGTTCGATATTCCTCACTAACATTTGATCCCGCAATATCGTCAAGCTAGTGACGTTAAAGAAGCGCTACCGGGAGGCAACACGAGTTCCTCACTCCCCCTCAATTATTATTATTTCATTTGTTTTATTTTTATTATTATTATCCCCTTTTTCTTTTACTTATATATATATATATTTTTTTTTTGTAGGTTTCTATAAAGAAAAAAAAATGAGAAAAAAAAGGGGGAAAGAAGAAGAAATCTTGCACCATCAGGTCTGCACGGACGTGCAGAACATCGCACGTCCGTGCAGACGAAGGCAGAACCTGACTGGTGAAATCTGAAGGTTCGCACGTCCGCGCACTCGAAGACAGAACAGATTGCCATTCTGCCAGGAATCTGCACGTCCGTGCCAAAATCTGCACGTCCGTGCAGATTCAGCCTGCACAGCAATATGACGGTTTCTAAAAAAAAATAAAAAAAAATAAAAAATAATAGCAAAGACCCCCCCCCCCATACTCACAATTCTCACTCCTCTTTCATACTCAAATTCTCCTTCCTCCTCTATACTCCATACTTCATACTACTCCTTCAAACTCCATACTTCCTATTTCTCACCCTTCAAACTCCATTTTTCACTTAAATCCCAACTCTAAACTACAAATTTCACTCCTCTTTC